CATCGCTACTAGGAGCAGGGACGCTACTAGGGGCTCCTGGCCTTACTACTAGCAAGAAGCTACTAGGAACAAGGGCATCGCTACTGGGAACAAGGGCATCGCTACTAGGAGCAGGGACGCTACTAGGAGCTCCTGGCCTTACTACTAGCAAGAAGAAGCTACTAGGAACATTTTGAAAGACAGGTCTCACCGTTTAGTTCCCCTAAAAATCTAGGAACCGCTCCCCCTACCCTCACACGCGGGGGAAGCTTCCTTGAAGAAGCGTGAGCTATCCTGCACCCATTTTAAGTAGCTTAAGTAGCTACTAGCTGCCTCTCCCTTGCTTAATTCAGTAGGCGTCTACTTAATTATGGCAGGGGGGAGCGGACAAGTGCATCGCTACTAGTAACAAGTGCCACGCTAGTAGTAACAAGAAGCTACTAGAAACAAGTGCCTTACTAGTAGTAACAAAAAAACACCAAATTCTAATTAACTTCTTCTTGTTACTACTAGTAAGGCACCTGTTACTACTAGTAAGGCACTTGTTTCTAGTAGCTTCTTGTTACTACTAGCGTGGCACTTGTTACTAGTAGCTTCCTACCCCTTATGGCAGGGGGGAGCGGACAAAAACATCAAAGAACTTCTGCCCTTCACCAGGTGACCTCCTCCACCCAGCGCTTCACCTCGTCCGAAGGCGCCTCGTACTTCGGCAGATTCGGCAACTCCGAGATCATCCGGTGCGCACGGATCTGCCCTCGGAGCCGGTGCGGTGCTTCTTTTTGACGCCCGAGACTTTGTGTAATCCCGGGACTAAACACGCTCCTTGCTATTTAAGCTACTAGGAACAAGGGCATCGCTACTAGGAGCAGGGACGCTACTAGGGGCTCCTGGCCGTACTACTAGGAACAAGGTTCGCTACTAGCAAGATTTAAGCTACTAGACATGCACGAGGGCCTTGACATCTCAATCCGAGTCCGACTCCAAATCTTGTTACTACTATTAGGGCACCTTGCTACTGGTAGCGTCCTTGCTACTAGTAGTGATGCACTTAGCTACTAGAAGCTTCATTACGCCTTCTTTCCCCCCTTTGACCCAGCCAAGGCTCGGTGGGAGAGGCGGCGCTCTGGCCGCCGATCGATAAGCTTCGCCACGAAGTCCTGCTCATGTCGTCTGAGGCGAAGGGCGCCGTTGGACCTGGGATCTTCCTCAGTTGCCGCTTTTTGCCGCGCTGGTGACTTCTTTCACTTGATTAAGCCTTTAGATTGAAGACCATTGCAAGTAGGTTGCAAAATCACATTAAGCTTGCTAGTCCCTCACTTATAGCGATGGCCTCCAACCTGAAGGCGGACCAAGTGTGCTATCACAAGACCGTGGGGATCAAAGGGATGGATTTGCAAACTTACTTATGGAGACTCAAAGTCAGAAGTGCGAACTTCTCCATCTACGCCCAAAGAAGTGCCTTCACCAATCACTTTCTGCCAAGAATCCAAACAACGCAGGAGCAGGTCGCAGTCTTGGGCATGCGCCCGGAAGTCATTCACGGTCCGGCGCTGCCCAGTGGGGGGTTGCGGAGGTTCGACATTCACCAAGCCGCCCGAGAGCAAGACCCAGGTGAGGACACCCAAGGAGTACAGGTCAGCACCTGAGATTGAGGCTAGGCCCGCAAAGTGCCTTATCACATAAATTCCTGCTAGGATTGGCATCCTTTTAGTGGAAATCAAAACGCGTACTGCCAAAGCAAAACTTGCCCAATCACCAATCATCTCCATGCAAATGTCGTGCAATACAACAAGCCAATGACTCAAACTGCTAGTAGCTACTTGCTCCTAGTAGCGATGCCCTTTGCTACTAGTGGCTTCTTGTTACTAATTCTCCACCCACCTCTCCTATCCTCCCCTCACTACTACATGCTCCGTGTCTAAACAGGCCGCTGTAGTCGTAGTTCTGCTGTAAGATCACCTCGGGCGCCACGTAGCCCGGGCTCCCCGCCGGCACGCCGAAGGACCACAGGCCGCTGGTGGACTCGACGCCGAAGCGGCCAAATCCAAAATCCGTCAACTTGGCGACGCCCTTCTCACCTTTTTTTGGCAGGAACAATGTGCGCTACTAGGAACAAGTGCATCGCTTCTAGTAACAAGTGCCTTACTAGTAGTAACAAGGACGCTAGTAGTAACAAGAAGCTACTAGACCTCCTGGCATCGCTACTAGGAACAAGGTTCGCTACTAGGGGCTCCTGGCATCGCTACGAATGTAACAAGAAACGCTACGCACGGGTGGAGAAAGGGGTGCATAGCAAAACCGGTGCGGAGAATGGCGTTTGCCCATGCGCAGCCCAGACAGTGCGTCTTCGTGACAGGGAAGGTTTTCACCGGACGAAGAACCGAGAGAACCACGTCAGCTAACAATTAGCTTCTTGTTACTACTAGTAAGGCACTTGTTACGAACGAAGCGATGCACTTGTTCCTAATAGCGAACCTTGTTACTACCACAAACGACCAGTGACCAGCAAAAAGGACGTCCCCTTTCTCTCCGGGAGGCGCTCCCTCTTCCTGTCACCGAGATGCTGAGAACCACGTTGTCTGGTTTCAGGTCTCTGAGCAGCGTATCCATCCGCAGATGCATATGTTCCAAGCCCAGGAAGACTTGGGCGATCCATGCGATGGCAGTGCTGGGAGCTCGATATGAACCGATGCCACAAAGGTGTCTTCTCCTGACCAAAGTCTGTCAACTTCAACAAGTGAAACACACTGCTTCAATTCAGTTCTAGGGATGATGACCACCAAAAGACATACCCGAACCAAGAAGAACAAAAGACCAACCACCTCACCCAAGGCTCTGTTGGATGCGTCGCAGGAGGTTCCCTCCGGAGCAGTACTCCATCACCAGGACGTAAAGCCCGGCGTCCGTGAAGTTGTGAACCAGGAAGAGTTGCACCAAACCTCGAGGAACGAACGACGTGGACGTGGATGGAAACGGAGATGAAACGGGATACACCGGTTCCATCGAGAACACCATGTGGTTGGATATGATTGCTGATCATCTAAACACGCATGACCAAACCTTCGCAAATCCAATTCTCCTCCAACACCGGGATTTCAAGGCGTCGCTGTTTCGTTCTGTTTTCGCCCCAAGCGGCAGGGATGCGGCGTCAGGCGAATGCGGTCGCTGACCTCGAACTCCCGGCGGCTCACCTCCGAGGTCGTCGGAGCCTGCGAAGCGAAGGCGTCGGGTGGGCGTTGTCTGCGTCCGTTTCTCGGTTCGTTCGGGAAGACTTGCTGTTCATCTTCGAATTCACAAGAAAGGGGCTCAAGAAGAGGTGTTTTAATTCCTTTGTGAAGAGGCGTTGTTCTTGGGAATAGGTTTTGTATGGTTTTGTCCATCTTCCATTTTTTGTTGCTTTCTGCAGATTGTTTTGCCGAAGTGCTACATCTTCGGCGATGGGTAGAGATGTGATGAGATGGGTAGAGGGCGGGAGAGGGCCAAAGCGTGGATCAAAAACGCGTCTCAAAAGCCACTCGGATTTTTCAGTCTCTTTTTCTTTATTGTAGCTTCTTGTTCCTAGTAGCAAGGCCAGGAGCTACTAGTAGCTTCTTGCTCCTAGTAGCGATGCCCTTTGTTCCTAGTGGCTTCTTCTAATCAAGTAAGGGAAACGAATTGAGAATGGAACTGAGCCTTGCAAATGTTCTTGACTGCATACAGCTTGTCCGTCCGCTCATCCATGGCACACCACACCTGAGCTCAATGGGTTCTGACACAAATGCTCAAGGTACCCCAAACAAAGCTACATTGCTTTTAGGTTGGAGGCCATTGCTATTAGTAACAAGGGCATCGCTACTAGTAGCAAGAACGCTACTAGTAGCTAGGGCATTACTACTAGTAGCAAGGACGCTCTTAGGTTGGAGGCCATTGCTATTGGGGGAGATTCCTATTGCATTCGAAACAGCAACTCTCCAAGCCGACATGGGCCGACCAAAACCTTCCAGCTGCCGATGCGTCGAATACGTATCGGATTTAAGTAAGCTTAATTAAGTCAGTGATTTCTTTCTAATAGCGATAGCCTCCAACCTAAGAGCAACGTACCTCATGTGTATATCTTCTATCGAATTTGGATCGATGTGGACGACTTTCATCCCAGTTGCCACGCCATAGCTTCCTTGCCCCAAGATGGCACCGATGCCAATCTCCGGGATTCTCCGGATGATGCCTCCGCGGATCGTGCGGGACGTCACCACCGACTGCGACACCTGCTTGACACCGACCTGCAGTTCTTGGTGAGCCTTTGATTCTGGTTGTGCCTTTTGGCCCGATTGGGGTGAACTGCTAAGTTGGGACCGGCCATTTGTTCAACACCACTTGGATGCTGAAAGTGGTCAAGTGTGGATCTGGACTGCGGGAGGGCCCCTTCTCTAAAAGCTTTCCACCTCTTGGAAGCCTGAGCAAAATCAAAAAGCATCTTCGAAACAAAACTGCAAGCAAATGCCATGAACCTCCCTCGTAGCCACTCACGGCACTCCCAAGAAAATTAAGTTTAACCTCTAGGAACCAAATCATTAGTGCAAGGAGGGCCAACTAGCATAGGCTATCCTGCGTCCATAGGCAGTAGCGTCTTAGTAGCTATAGGAGCGTGTTTAGTCCCTTGCTTAATCAAGTAAGGAGGCAGGGCCACGGGCGCCACGAAACACCTCCGTCAGTCGCCACGAAACACCGGTGACCACCCCTGTGGCATCACACGCCGAGCGGCAGCCGCGGATGTGGCCGCCGGAGCAGCCGCGGCGGCGCATGGCGGCGTCCATGCCTTGGGATAGTAACAAGGGCCTTACTAGTAGTAACTAGAATTAATAATTCTAATAGCTTCTTGTTACTACTAGTAAGGCACTTGTTACTACTAGCGTGGCACTTGTTACTGGATGGGACCTGAAGGAAAGAACCGAAACCTCAGAGCGATGGCCTCCAAGCTAATAGCGATGCTGGGATTGACCCGAAAGAGGAGAAAGTCACCTGAAAGCAAAACCAGGATGCTGGAGGACATCTCCGACCACTGGGCGATGACCCGCGTGTTCGTCGGGGTCACCGGGACCTGAGGCCGCAAGTCGTGTTGATCTCGGATGCGGGTGGAGAGATGTGGAGAGATGCGGGAATGCGCTGCCTTTAGCAAGGACGCTACGAACGTAGCTCCTGGCATGGGTGAACCCGCCGCATCCGGAATCAGTTCGTTCACCGAGCTGCTGAACGGGGGATCAACATCAAATCTGAGACAGAGCCTTCCCCTCTCGTCTCACCACAGAACCCGAGCCACCTCTTCCTCTTCTTCCTCTTCTTCCTCTTTCTGTCCTCTCTTCTAGGGTGGAGGCCATCGCTAGGTTGGAGGCCATTGCTAGCAGCGCTCTCAGGTTTCTTTTATTCTCTCTCTTTAGCGCTCTCAGGTTCTCTCTTTCTTTCCCCTTCTCATCCAACAGCAAACATTGTTCCTAGTAGCGATGCCAGGAGCCCGTAATAGCTTCTTGTTACTAGTAGTGAGGCCAGGAGCCCCTAGTAGCGATGCCCCTAGTGTTGCTCTTTCTTTCGCCTTCTCTTTCTTCATCTCATCTGATTCTAATTATATTCTAATTGAATTCTATTTAGCTTCTTGTTTCTAATAGCAACCATTGTTACTAGTAGTAAGGCACTTGTTACTAGTAGCGATGCACTTGTTACTAGTAGCGTCCTTAAGCTTCTCATCTGAGATCTGAGTCACCAGGTGGTCGATGTTCGGCGCCTCCGTCTCCCAATTCGCCCCGTGCCGCGCGCCGGAGGCGCCCGTGCCACGCGCCAGGGAGGTCTCGCTGCTCTCGGTGGCCTCGCTGATGTCCGTCAAGACGCTCTGGTGGATCTCCTGAGCCACCCGCACACTTCGAAGTGAGTGAAGGGCGGAGCAGAATTGGAATGAGCAGTTCTGCTTCTATTTTTAACGGGTGGGGTAGGCCACGGGTGGAGGTAGTAGCCTTAGAGGTAGGGAGTCGCTAGTAGAAGCTAAGTAGCTACTACCGACTGGATGCAGGATAGCTCGCGCTTCTTCAAGGAAGCTCCCCCCTGCCGCCCTGTCGAAGAAGCGCTCGCACTAATGATTTTGAGGGAAACTTAGCTTTCAAAATATTTTTAGCCCAGGTACAAGTGAAGCTAGAGAATCGACCCCAACGTCAGGTTGTGCGCAAGTTGACAAAGGGCCTTCAGAATCAGACTTGAGACTTTCCCATCGTGGCCAAGCATCCGGAGGTTCTGGCTGTGCATCCATCAGAAATGCCCGCCCCAATGCCTCGAAACAGGACAAAAGGGCTCCGATTGAAGGACACTGTCGAGCGACCACTGTTGAAGGGTGACTTTCCGATTAGGTTCGCTGCATTCGCCACATATTTCGTTTTGTCGTGCGAGGTTCCCAAAGACCACAGCTGAACGCGCCAAGATACCCCGCCACAGCAGCTAGCAATGTAGGAGCAAAGGCCAGGCGCGATCAACCTCAGCTCCCAGCTGGCCGGAAAGGAATGCTGCAAAGGAACCAAGGATTGAAGAAAGTAAGGTGGCGGCCATCGCTCTTAGGTCGGAGGCCATCGCAGAAGTCACCCCTAAAGTAGCTTTGTCTTGCTCTGGTATATGGGACGATTTCTGACTCATCATCTCTGCTTCTGCTGGTGGACTGTACCCTACTTTCAAATCCCCGAGTGACCCAATGCCTTTGCGCATCGCAAATCCTCAAATGACTCAAATACATTCGCTTCCTCCACCATGCGCCGCATGCGGAATTGCATCTGAGGAACTGCTCGTGCTGACTGCGGTCGATGGCCACTTGCACTTGCGGCCAGCCCTCCATGTTGGGAAGCGAAGCCGCGGCATCCTCGCAGGTGCATCGCTAGTAGTAACAAGTGCCTTACTAGTAGTAACAATGTTTGCTATTAGAATTAAATTCTAGTTAAACTTAATTCTAATTCTATTTATTGTTTCTACTAGCTTATTGTTCCTAGTAGCGATGCACTTGTTCCTAGTAGCATCCTCGCTTCATCGAGTTCCCGATCTTTCGGTCTGAGGGATTTTTCGTTCGCTTCCGTTCGTAGCGAACCTTGCTCCGTTCGTACGGCCAGGGTCGCCCCGTTCGTAGCATCCGATCGCTCCGTTCGTAGCGATGCCAGCACCTAGTGGAACTGGACTTATAGCTTGACTCCTCGTGCAGGGGTAACTGGACTCCTTGTTGGGGCTTTACCAGCCCAGCGATCAATCCGTGCGTCCCAACCGCTGATGGAATTCAAATCACTGATGGACCTTTTCAGGTCGAGGCGTCCAAATCAGATCAACATTTGGATCACCTGGCATCATATTTACTCGAATCGAATCAGATCACCCAAGTGGCCAGCAATGGGGTGCTGCGCAAATCCATGGACCGCCTCGGGCCAAGGAGAGAGAGACGAACGTAGCGAGATGCCCTGCTCCGTTCGGTTTGCGTCCTCTTGCTACCCTAAGGATCCTTGGACCCTCCTTAGAAGGATTCAAACCCTCTATAACAAGGGTTTGTACCCTCATGTACCCTCAAAACCCTTGTTTTTGAGGGTGCGGATCCTTAGGGTAGTAGTAATGCCCGTAGTTACCGAACCGTAGCGGTAAAGACTCGAACGGCCGGTTTTGGGTTGGACGAAAGCCATGCCTTTGGGGTCCATTCATCCATTCGGCCAGGGCCTTTCCATCCTTTTCGGCGGAGAAAGATCGAAGAACACAAGACCCAACCAGCAAAGAATCGTTCCAGCTTTTCTCGAAAAGGTCAAGAAGCACAGGAAGCAACAATGGGCTAGACATGCTCCCTCACCTCCAGACATGAAGCCTCCGAATGCTGCCGCCTTTAGGTCCGAGGCCATGGCTATTTGGTTGGAGGCCATTGCATGTCTCCCTTCGCTTCGCTTCGCTTTGCGTGTCCGAGCGGCTGCAGCAGCTCATCGCCGGGGTCGACGATGGCCTGGCGCACCTCGCGCGGGCACAGCTCGATCGCCGGGTTGGGCTCCTGGTAACGCCGGTGACGGTCACGATAGCGCGATGACGAAACAGCGCCGGGTTCGGCAGTCAGAACTAGTCCAAGCTTGTCTGGACAGCGTCTTAAGAAGATGTGATCTGATGGTTTTAAAGATAAAGCACTAACACGAAGCTACTAGGGGCTCCTGGCATCGGTACTAGGAGGAAGGACGCTACTAGGTGCTCTGGCCGTACTACTAGGAGCAAGAAGCTACTAGGAACAAGAAGCACGCAACTGGTGGCAGATCTTTTGAGCTTTCCGATTTTGGGGCTCCTGAAGCATGGCCATCTTCCAAAGAGGCACCTGGGCATGGCTTCCATGCGCTGGCCGCACAACGGGTTCCAAATGGAGCAGCTAGCCAGCACCGTTCAGTTGAATGGCCTTTTGGACAAAAAAAACAAAGGAGATTATTGTTGATACAAAACAGATCCTGGTCGTTTGCTACCTTCGGATGCAAAAGATGTAAAAGGCAGTGTTCTGTTTCTGACATCATGTGACACCCTTTTCTGACATCATCCTGCGCACCGCGGGTTCAGTGACACTTTGCGCACATGGTCTTTCAGTCGATCAGTGCCCTTTCTTCAGCTTGCTCCGAACTTGTCGTCCGAGGAGTGTCGTTCCGACTTCAGCACCAAAACACGAGATCTGATTCTTGAGAACAACTTCTGCATGAGATTTCCTTTAATAATCCTACGTCTTGCCGGCTTCTTAGCAAAAACTAACAGCATTATGGTGCCGCTGCCCTGTCTTCAGATCAAACATTTACCCAAGTAGTAGCCACACAAGGATAGACGACTCCACCAAATGCGGCTTTTGGCACATGATGCGCTAGGCAGCAGCAAACCTCCAGCCAGCCCCCACGTGCAGCCACATGCAGTGGCGTCTCGTTGGCAGAATCTTGAAACATGTAGTTCCAGTAGTCCTCGGCTTCAAATGAGGATTTCGTCCAAGGGTGCAAGCCAAACATTATGACTCCCGTAACCTGGGAAACGACGAACTAACGGGCTGCACAGGGGAGCCTTCTTTACGGGACATGTCGAGAAGGAACAAGCTTTCAGAAACCCACCAGTCGAGAATGCAGCACGCAAAACTGAAAAGGAACTCCAAAGTCTTCCCCTTTGGAGATACACACATCGAAAGAGCTGGCGGCACCAGCACTCGGGTCAAGAGAAAACACGCCCACAACGGCTCTAAACATGCGTTCTGAACAATAGTCTGCCCAAGGGGACTGTGCATGCACCAAAGCTTTGCCCTTTTGATGAAGGCCTGGCGTGTCGTGGTAGAAAACAACATGATCAACATCTACAGTCGTGCATATTTGCTCAGCTTGCAGCCACAATAGTTTCATGACCTTCATATGTGTTTGGGACCCTGTAGCTGACACCTGGGTACAGTAAGGTCTCTTGCATTTTCCAGCTAAGGCACCTCTGCGTTCCTCTCTCCTGCCAAGAATGAAGCCAAACCCCAAAGCAACGACATCATCTCTAAACACCATCTACTTGACTCAGATTTCCACTTGCCAAAAAGAAGATCTCATTCTCCGCCGTCTCAGCCAACGCTTGGTGATGCCGGTTCCCCGCACAATTCCTGCAGCTCGACCTCTGGCGGCATCCAGCAGAATCTGCACCACCTGCAGTCGACTGGACGAACTGCATCTCTCTAGCTTGAAGGGGTGAAGACGAGAAACAAAACACCTTGCTACCACAAAAAGAAAAATAGGTCTCAAAAAAGCTGTTTGGTTCCTCCATCCTACTAGCGATGGCCTCCAACCCAATGGGAATGGCCTCCCTAGAAGCATCTGCTTGACTGGTCTCGGGCTTGAAGGAGGGAATGTGAGGGTCTACAGCTCTCTGGCTGAGGATCTACGGATGAACTCCGGACGACCCGAAGTAGACTTGAAGTCTTGAAGACTTGATTCAGCCATCAGCTTCTTGGTATACCTCTCGTCGAGGTCAAATTGTAGGTCCCTGGTTTCTGGTCCCTCATCTACAGTAAACTACAATCGAACTCTGAACCTACAATAATACCAGAAAGAAACAGAGAAACAAAGAAACGAGGAAGGCACACACAGAAAAGTATAGGTCTTATAGATCCTACTCTGAACTCTGAGCCTGCAGTTCTCCTGCTCTCCACTGCACTGTTCCCTCAGCGCCTTCAAGTGCCCATGCCATGCGGCGATGTGGAGTGCCGTCCATCGGCGGCGCAAAGAGATCGTCAACAAGGTGCGGCATTTCCTGCGCAGCACGCTGCGCCGCGCTTGGCCAAGTCCAAGGGGCGCTTTTTGTTACGGAACAGTAGCGAACTTGGCCCTGGCGGCACGATCAAGTGGCCACGGCAATCCCATCCAAGCGCTCTCACCCCTGAAGGAAGAGCGCGAACTTTCTTTCTTTCTCTCTTTCCTCTCCACCTTCCTTCCTCCTTGGGTGTCCCTGGATGCTTTTGTCATAGCTGGGAACCCTTCTCCGCTCTTCCTTTGGTGTGTCCTTGGACGCGTGCGTCGTAGCTGGGAACACCTTCCTTTCTTCTCTTTCCTTTTTCTCGTCTCTCCCTACCAGTTGTGAAGTTGGGTGTTGCTTTTCGATAGCTGGACAAGGCCAAGGTTGGTGGAGCTTACCCATTCTCCTGCAATATGACCTGTGTGGATGGGTTGGCTAAGAAAAAGCATCTCAAGCACGGGACCCGGGCTTTGCAAACAACATCCAATAGTAGGAACCAAAAATCATTAGCGTGAGCTATCCTGCGTCCTACTGAATTAAGTAGGGAGGAGCCCCCAGACTTGCTCGGTGCCTGTTGTCTTGAAGCCTCCGAAGCTCCACGTTGGCGCCCTGCTGGACGAGCAGCGCGCACACGTCCGCGTGGCCCCGGGCTGCCGCCAGCATCCTTTGTAGCTTGAGAAAGTATGAGGTTGTGACATTCTTGAACCATGCTTGCTGTAACTGAACAGGAAAAACACCACCACCTCGTCACGCCTAGTAGCTATAGCTTTCCTTCACCAAAAACGACTGAAACACATTGAGAGCCAAGAGTCAGTGGGGTTCTCCCATCCACATCAGGGCTGTTCCTGAGCAACTCCGGCACTCGAGATTTCGACGAAAAAACCATCTCTGACGACGAGGTCAGCAGAGTCTCTGACGACGTCCGCGGTGTGTGGCTTGTGTACTGGAAGAACGAGAAGGTTTCGGCTGGACCAATGAACTTCAATCGATTTCAATCGTCAGTGGGTGGAACGGTGGGGGTCTATACCTATGCTTACTACGACTAACATTTTCCAATGCACACCCATGGTGCAAATCGACCTGTCTCCGGCCCCCGGTCTCCGCTCCGCTCCCGGTCTCTGCTCCCGTCTTCGCCGTGGCGCACGTTGAGGCAAATGGCCGCGGAGCGCGTCAAGTCGCGGATGGCGCGTTGGACTTCCGTCTTGGAACCCGTCTCACAGGCCGAGAAGATGTCCTAGGAGCGATCGGACCGCCTACGAACGCTACTAGGGGCTCCTGGCCATACGGCTGGGAGCGATCGGACGCGACGCGACGAACGGGCCGAGAAGATGTGCTGAAGATCGAAACAGAGGTTCCCCTCCGATTCAAAGCGCCGTTGTGAGGGAAGGAGAGGTTTTCCTGGAAGGCGGTAGGCGTTCAATCCACGGAGAGGAGAAAGGGACGAGAATCGATGATGATTTCTTACAGATCGATTCTCGTCCAGCCGGTGTTGGCAAAACATGGCACAAACAGTGCTGTTCAAAGAATTGAAACAGAACCACCAGGAAGGAACCCTTTTGCGGATTCATACCTCTGCAAGCCTTAGAAGAGTAACCCAATACAAGGGAATGAATAGCAACTTGCAGACTTCTCAAGCGAAAATCATCTCAGCTCTGCTAAGGTGGCGGGGAAGCGACCGATTATACTGTGGGATGGACTTTTCACAGTGACTGGCCTTGACATGATGCCACTTGGTTGTGGATGTGCCTTGGGTTGCGGTTGCGCTTTCCTTCGGCGCATTCTTCGACCAAGGGTCCGTCATGTTGCTTCGATGCATCGACTTGCTCGAAATATACGCCAGAAGCGGCCAATAAAGGACACCTCAACGGTGATGGTGAGAGCAAGTCTGATACTTCGGGAGAAGGGATGAGAAGAGAGAAGAAGGGACAGGGACCAAAACTCTGCTCCACCAACTGCCAACTCGTATCTTTGCTGTTGGCTCTGATCCAACAGCCCCACTCTGACTCAAATGAATACACTTTGTTGAAACCAAGTCGGAAGGTGTTCCCCACTGCCCAGACTTTTGCACAGTTGCACCCCAAGCTCCGGCTTCACGATTAGTATGCATGAGATTATCTCCACTTGTCTTCTCATGTTTTCCCTCTTGAGTAGATGCAATTCAAAGAGACCTTAGTGTTACGCACCAAAAACCGACTACAGCCCAACTATTCCGTTGGAAAGTCTTTGCCTGCTCCCGCAAAGAGGAACATGAATGCACATCCGCTTGCTGGAACGTTCGATCGAATAAAGGGTCCACCAAAGCAGGTCGCTTGCTGAGCCGTGCGAGCAACGGTTTTTGAAACCAACCAGCACCGTTCCAGCCACGAACCGTTCGCAGGAATGATCCAACAAACATCCATCCTCGTTCACCGAAGAAGAAAAGGACGTTTCACCTGTAGTAACAAGAAGCTACAAGCTCCCCCTCTTCGAGCTACGTTCGTAGCGTCCTTGCTCCGTTCGTAGTAAGGCCAGGAGCCCCGTTCGTAGCAAACCTTGTTACTACTAGTAAGGCACTAGTAATGCGTAGAAGCGATGCCCTTGGCTCCGTTCGTAGAAGTAAGGCCTCGCACCTCCAGACCCTCCGGAGCCAACGTCCAAGGGGCTGGCGGTCAAAGCAATGACCTCGACGCCATGCGGACGGAGTCGGGACGTGGATCGCGACGTCTTCGTCCGGAGCAAAGGGCCACGCGAACCGAACGGGGCGAAACTGGCCTTACCTACTAGGAATAAGAAGCTACTAGGAACAAGGGCATCGCTACTAGGAACAAGGTTCGCTACTTACTAGGATCTCCTGGCATCGCTACTACTAACAAGAAGCTACTAGGTTGGAGGCCATCGCTAGTAGGTTAAGAAGCTTGAGGTCCTCATGGAGTTCACGGATCGCCATGACATATATAGGTATTCAGATCCAAATATGGTGAAAATGACGGCCATGCCATCCATGTGACCATGAGTTCAGGGAGTGCGGCTGGAAACCCATTGTGCACCAGAGGCTTTGATTCGTCGTTTGATCTGACTCTTACCCCAAATGGTTCATTCTCTGCCTGGCAGCTATTACCACCATGTGGGCCCTGCCCGGGTCTGTGCTGCTGCGCGAGCATGACACAGTGAAACAACTTACAAAATTACCAACAAAAGCACCAAACTGCGCGCTTCTGAAATGGGGAGTTTGGACAGCAAGTCCCAGCTGCGTTGTTCACCAAAGTTACTAGCGAAACATGGTCATCCGGCTGTGATGCTGAGCGATGGATCCTCAATATGCTTGACATCTTCAAGGTCTTTCAACAAACATGGGTCCAACTCTCGCGCCTCAATCATTCAACATCAAGCACAGGGGATACATCACCAGTGCAAACTCTGCCCCCATCAAGGGGGAGGGTAGCCTTTGTGGTTCCACCGTAAACTTGGTTGGCCAGCTCAGTTTTTCTTCCTTTGGGGGGGATTGATTCATCGATTCTGCTGAAAGCAAGTCGAAGCCGTGGCGCGATCATGATCTGATGGTTCTTCCAATTGTCCTTCAAGTCCACCCAAAGCTCCTCCCGCAATCCGATGTACCTGGGCGCAATCCGACGGTCAGAAGTGATGGAAGATGGGGAGCGCCCTGTGATGGTGCAGCTGCAGCTGTGACACCGTCCCAGCTTTTCCACCCCAAAAACATCCTTTGCACGATAAGTTGCAATTGAGAGACAAGGACAAAACAACGTGGAGATTTCAACATTTGATTCAAGAAAATATTGCCGAAGAAAACCCGAAAACCATGGGAAGTAGACCAGAAGCTTGATATGGGATGGGGCAATCCAGTTGCTGACACAAATAGCTCGAATCCACTCTCTTTTTGACTTCTCGTTGGCTTCGCCGCCTTCACCCGCTCCTTCTCCTGCTTCTTCCTCCAAACCACGGCCTTCTTGTGAGACGCTTCGAGTTCGGCCTCGCTGTGGTCCTTCGGCTTCACATGAAAATGCTGATTTTTTTCCGTTGATTCGGCACTGGGCACGCCACTTCTGACTCCTCCGCTCCCAGGTCACCCCGGGGTAGGGCACCTTCGCCTCGAAGATCGGCAGCTCCGAGAAGCGACCCACGGCCATCACCTTGCGCTCCAATCCGTGGAGCTTCGCGAGTTCCAAGGCCTTGGACTCGGCGGCGGCCTTCTCGGTGAAGCGGCCGCCATGAATCTGCTTGGCTGGCCCCTTCGTGGCCTTCTTGGGGGCGAGCTCAACTCGCCACTTTTTGCTCCTTTTATTCCAGCTCACCCCCGGCACCTCGCTGGTGAAGTTGGGGTCCACGGGCTTCGGCTCCTCGAGGACGCCCTGTTTCACCAGCTCGGCTCGGAAGGCCTTGGCCGCCTCCAGCGCCGCCACGTCGGCTTCGGTCTCGGTCAGGCCCTCCTTCATGAACTTGCTGAGGGAGAACTGCCGAGCTTTTCGACCGGTTCTCTTACCCTTCTTGTCAAAGAGTGGGAAATTGACTTCCCATGCCCAGCAGCCCTTGTTCCACTTCACAGCTGAAACCCCACTCTGCTTCCCCGAGTTGTCCCTCCGGAAGCGCGTGGGTTTCGCTGATGTCGCGGGAGCCTCAGGAGCTTGAGGGGCAGAATCTTGAAGCGCCTTGACACCTTCCGCAAATCGGGGCAATGGAATCTGATTTGGCACCGGTGCGGCTTCCTTCATCGTGTCTTCGATTGGCTTCACCTGTTCCGGTGCTTGTTCCATGGCAAACATCAAACCTTCGACTCCCTCAGCAAAGCTGCCTGCAGAACTGCCCTGAGGAGCTTCGCCGTCGCCTTGCTCCCTCTTGACTTTCGAGCCGAAAGCCCTTTGCAGCTCATCAGCCTCGTCCATCTTGACGAAAGCCTCAATCAAAGTCTGGGCTGCTTGCTCTCTTTGTGTTTCCCATCGAGCGAGGCGGCGACGCTTGGCAGTGGGAGGGATTGCTGGCTCTACTGCATCGGTGTTCGTGGCAACCTCTTCAACCTCCTCTTTGACCTCCTGCCCAACGATGGTAGCTGCATCCTGCAGCATCTCTTCCTTCATCTCTTGGAGCTCCTTGTCAGTTACACTTGAGAAGTCCTCCGACATAGACTCACCTTCTCCTACCTCCTCTTCGGCTTCCTGCTTGACCTCGTGTCCAACAATCATAGTGCCAACACCTGAGGTACCGATTTGGTCTGGCTGCATTTCCTCATTGATCTCCAATGAAAAAAAGGAATAACCCTCGTCCTTTACTTGCAAATACCAGCCCTTATCTGTACTCCGCACAGCTGTTGTCATCTCACGGATTACTACGTGGTTGCTTCAGCGGAAGGTGAAACAGAATTCCATTCGCTGGGCGAAGCCTAAGCTTCTGCAAAACTTGGGCCACAACTCCTGGGAGCATGCCGCAAAACATGACTGGAGCGACCCGTCTGGTTCTGCAGGGAACTCTGTTACTCTCTCACCATTTTTGGCTACAAACTTGGACACTCACATCAAACCTCAAGCAGCATTTGAACGGTCTAACGGCGAGGTCGCTTTTTGTGCGCGATCAAGTGGCAGCAGGAGCGGCAACAAGATGAGCTCCAAGCCATGCTTGATCGTAAGCCAACCTCAGCATCAGTCGGAAGGATCGGAACCAACCTGGGCCTGGCACCAAACCGTCTCCCCCAAAATCGATCCCAGTCCAGGTAAGCAGACCACATGGTGGTGAGTCAATCCATTTCTGGAATTTTACTTTGACCCATCACCAAGTCAAGTGCTTTCCTGTTCTTGGCACACCACACATTCGGAAAATACTCTCTTCAAACAACCACCCGGAAGCAAGCCTCTGCCACGGCACGTGGCAGTGCGCCGACTCAGGTCCAGCACTGGCACCCGACTCCCGGCGCAGCGACGCGACGAACGGGGCTCCTGGCCTTACGAACGGAGGACGCTGCGAACGGGGCTCCTGCGAACGGAGGACGCTACTAGTAACAAGTGCCTCACTAGTAGTAACAATGTTTGCTATTAGAATTAGATTAAAATAAAATTAAGTTAACTAATAGCGTCCTTGTTACTACTAGTAAGGCACTTGTTACTAGAAGCGATGCACTTGTTACTAGTAGCTATTTGCTCCCCCATTCGTAGCGATGCCCTTGGCTCCGTCGCCGCTCCGGTTCGCTCCGTTCGCTCCGATCGATGCCCGTTCCGAGGCACGGGAGACCAGCTTGGCGCTGCGGCGCTTGTAGGGCGAGTCGATGAAGGCGAAGATGTTGGCGAAGACCTGGGCGCCGAGGTCTTCGGCGACAGACGACTCGGGTGGTTCGCGTCGCTCCGGACGAAGACGTCGCGATGCCAGGAGTGCCCCGGACTCGGTTCGCTTCTAGCTAGTGTGTGTGAATCTCCATGTCTACAAGGGAGTCTAGTTATCTGGTGGTTCAACCTCTACCTTTCCAACATGCTGCGAAGGGAGGCATCAAATGGAAGCAGAAACAAACACACCTGTTTGTGGAGGAAAAGGAATGCACATTGGATGATAAACATGATAAACATGAGAAACACGACTCCGTGGTACAAAGCCTATAAATATTTCCATAGCAATGGTTTTCTGAAGCTTTCTGGATTCATCAGGCAATGTCCCAGAAAAAAAACACAACCAAAAACACATGCCGAACCCAACAAACACCGGGTATTTCACCCGTGCAAGCGACGGCAGGGCTGCTACAAAGGATCCGCACCTCGGCGGAGCGTCGCGACTCGGGTGTGAAACACCGAAGAAGGCGAAGGATTCCTTGCTCTTGATCTCACTAGGAGCAAGGACGCTAACTTCGATGCCAGGGGCGCCCCGTTCGCAGCGATGCCTTTGTTCCGTTCGTAGCTTTATGAGTAGTAAGGCCAGGAGCGCCCCTAGTAGCGACTAGTAGCTTCTCTTCTCACTGCTTTCGGCGCTTTCGGGCGTGCCACGCTCGGCGTTTTCCCACTCAGGGCCCTGCCACATAGGTGCCCTCTGCGCCGCCCAAGACCGTGACGATGAAAGCGGTGAAGCAAAAGTCCGCCAACAAAATGCACCACCACCACCTGTGTCGAGGATGGAGCCGAGATGAGGGTGAGAACGATGGCGGTTTTAGGTCGGATGGAGAGAAGGAAGAAAACATACTAGTAGCGATACCAGGAGCCCCTAGTAGCTTCTTGTTACTACTAGTAAGGCACTTGTTACTAATAGCTTCTTGCTCCTAGTAGCGTGGCACTTGTTCCTAGTAGCGATGCCAGGAGCCCCTAGTAGCTTCTTGTTACTACTAGTAAGGCACTTGTTACTAATAGCTTCTTGCTCCTAGTAGCGTGGCACTTGTTCCTAGTAGCGATGCCAGGAGCCCCCTAGTAGCTTCTTGTTACTAGTAGCGTCCTTGCTCCCATGGTTCTGGATCCTTCCCTCGTGAACACGTTTTTCTTGGAACCTTTGGCAGCTCAGACATGGATCCAAAGGAGAAGTCGGTAGTTGCGCACAGGTTCTGCTAGGATTGGGAGAGTCGGATAGTCTCAGAATTGATCCAACGCCGTCGGCAAGATTCAAATCATCAAATCATGGGTTACATTGGTCATCGATAGACAAATTCTAGAGATGACCAATGCTGCATGGCATGGTTGCCACCATAAAGCCATATAGAGCCTAACCACTTACGTCCAAAAACTCCTGACCCAAAGGACTTTGAGAAGTTCGTCTTCAGCCGGACCTGAGTGGGGAAGATCAGTCCCCCGTCAGGCCAGGCGAGATTTTCATGAGCTCAACCTATCTTGTCCTTGTTCCGTTTGTAGCGAACCTTGTTACTAGTATACGGCCAGGAGCGCCCCGTTCGTTTCCGCGTCGCGATGCCGTTCCTACGAACTATAGTGATGGCCTCCAACCTGCCGGCCTCCACTGCGGTTTCTGTCGGGTGGTCACCATGAAGGCCACGAACATGCACACGCGGCTGATCAGCTCACAGGTGCCTCCCGGACGAAATCCGCTAAGTGGGACGACAAGGGCCGACAGGACAGGCGGGTGGTCTTGGCCAAGAAACGGGTTGGCCAAGAATCCGTAACTTTCGAAGTGAATCTGACCCCATTCTCACATGCTCAGCCAAGAAACAAACCCAAGAAGATTTGGAATGTCAATGCTTAACATCTGCAAGAGTCGCCCAATTTGGCGTTCCAAAGCCTGGTGAACACCACCTATAAGATGCTACTAGGAACAAAGGGCATCGCTACGAACGGAGCAAAAATGCTACTAGTAGCTCCTGGCATTAGTACTAGGAACAAGAAGCTACTAGTAACAAGGGCATTACTACCCTCCAGACTCCAGCAAACTCTCTTACCCACCCACTGTCCCCACGTTTCCTCCGTTTTCCCTCCGTTTCCGGGTCTCCGGGCGGAAGAGCCAGTGGATCACTTCGTACCAAAAGCGTCGCATCCGTTTGGCGATCGTCCGAGAGGTGCAGTAGTCCAACTCCATCACACCTGTGCCAGGAGCGATCGGACGCTGCGAACGGAGCCAAGGGCATCGCTACTAGGAGCAAGGACGCTACGAACGGGGCTCCTGGCCGTACTACTAGGAACAAGAAGGCTGCGAACGGAGCGACGTCTTTATCACACCTGCCGTCTTCGTCTCTGCCGTCTTCCCGTCACCGGGGACCGGAGATGGGTGGGAGGAAAGGAGACATGTCGACACAGCGGAGATGGAGCAGATTCAAAGATGTTGGTTTTTGATTGGGAGATAGCTACGTGGGTTGAAAAGTCTCAATGTGTCTCAACCCCCAATCAAGAGAACAAGGAGCCTCAAAAACGAACAAAGTACGCAAACCCACATGGGGTAGTGTTGCTAGCTGCAAATGCTACTAGTAGCTTCCTTAAGCTGCAAGAAGAGCACCTCCTCCCCTCCGCTTTTCGCCTAGGCCAGTGGAGAGGAAGCACACCACGCCCAGGAAGCCCACCAAGGCCTCGGACGTTTCGCGGTCGTGTTCAGTGCTACAATGCTTTTCCTGGTGCTTTTTCGTTCAGGGAGATGGTGTGGTGCTTTTGTGGTGCTTTTCTTTCAGTATAGTATGCAGTACTTTGTATGGGTGTGTGTTGGAACAGGGAAAGGCTTCTCAAGCTATGGATTGTATTTTTGCATCATTGATCCCCCCAAAACTCAATATGGGGTTTTCCCTCTATTCCAGTGCACACCCATGGGTATGGATTCAAGACGGGGTACCATGTAAACCCACCACGAAAAGAACAAGTCAAAAAGTTGCGGCTTCCTGTGTCTGATCTTTAAGCTATAGGCTATAGCCAGAACTCCCTTTTGAAGAGTAAAACTATGCTTCCAACGCCATCTACATTTCTATCTTGTAGGGGGTACACGTAGTAGGTATAATGCATTTTCTGCGTTTTTGAACCTTGGGAATGCACAGATTTCTTTCAGCATGTAGACACTTATGAGTTCCAAGTGCAGGAAGCAGGGGCATTCCAAACGAAAGGCACAATTTTCCACATACCTGACCAATGTTTGCAAACATTGGCGCAGGAGAACTTCTTCACTAACAAAGCACTCATTATCCTGAAACCGAACAAAACACTGAATGAACCTCCTTTCAAAGAACCTTCTGCCAAATTCTGATTGCTTTTGGCAGGGCAAGGATTCATGAAAAGGCTTCATCCTGCTAAGTCTCACACAAAATCACAGCAAGCATCACCTCAACGACCCATGACGACCACCGAATCAGCTGCTGATAGAAGGGAATCACCATACGTGACCTCCACTGGCCACTCAAATCCTTGACGTCTCGGTGTGCTCTCAGTAACAAGTGCATCGCTAGTAGTAACAAGTGCCTTACTAGTAGTAACAAGAAGCTATTAGATTTAAATTAGAAGCAAATAGACTTTAATTAGAATTAAGTGTAATTCAATTAGAAGCTATTAGAAACAAGTGTCTTAACAGGTCCACCCCACCCCACCCTTTCCATCGCCGTGTCAGGTCACCCGCTCGCGGTTGCTGCCGACGGTGATGGGCTTCTGCGTCGTGGGGTCGACGATGCCTTACTAGTAACAAGAAGCTATTAGAAACAAGTGCCACGCTAGTAGGAACAAGTGCCTTACTAGTAGTAACAAGGTTCGCTACTAGGAACAAGTGCATCGCTACTAGCAACAGGTGCCTTACTAGTAGGAACAAGGACGCTAGTAGTAACAAGGTCCACGATGCCCATGCTCCAAAAGGCGTAGAGCAAGACCATCGACGAGGCGATGCCCTCCTCGACGGTGGCGTGATCCGGATGCATGTTCAGGGCGAGGCGAGGCATCGGATTGGATTGATGGCGAATCTCTTCAAGACATTCGTTCTTTTCACTGAACCTGTGAAATCAGAATTTATGGTAAATGTATGGCAACTCTCTTTGTTCTTTGCAGGCCTCAAAAGGAGGACATGCAGGGTACAGCCTCCTACTGCACTACGAACCTGCCAGTGCCCTACTGCCAAGCGAAACTCTACAGCCGAACCAGTTCACCGCGGTTTCTGCGTTCTCGATTTGGACACGTCAAGCTATCGTTCACCATTCTCGATCTACATGCGCCACGATGTGAAGTTTACACGTTCAGCATCCGTCAATCAGTTGATTTCAACTAAGAAACAATTGAAGAAAGACTACTTGCATCCGTCAAGATGCAATTGTCATCGAACACTTTTCGGATTCCTCATTGTGTCCAGATCGCCACCGAAAAAGGAAGGAGCAATTTGGTCACGTGGCCCTACCGGGCTGAAGCAGAGCCGTTTTAGGTGTTTTGAGATGTCTCAAATCGCTGATCTTTCTCTGTTTGAGCTGTGAAATGCACGTGCCGAGCCACAAAGATGCCGTTCACAGCTTTGCCTTGGTATCGGGAAGAGAACTGGCAAGTGCCTTCCTCCGCGTGTTGCCGTGGAAGTGGTCCTTCCAAGGGTTGGGTCTTCGTAAATTTCCTTTGCACCAGTCTGCCCAGTCCTTCCCACCTGCACATCGCCCCATCCAGCAGTCATATGCCTTAACATCGCATCAATCCCCATCACCTCAAATACACCAAAGCACTCGACGATCCCAGTGCTAGGGTTCCTGAGATGGATCCATCACTCCAAAAGCGACCCAGTCCAAGTCTCATCATCTCATCAAGTTTCTCCTTCTTTCTCTGTCTTAGCTTTTCTGACCCTGTATTTCTTCCCCTTTTCTTATTTTCTCCTCCTTCTTCTCTTTTCGACCCTTTCCTCTTCCGGTCCGTTCTTTTCCATTTCCCCTCCTTAAGAAAAAAACACCCTCTTTCTCTCTCTCTCTCTCTCCCTCCATCTCTCCCCCTCCTCCCCCTCCTCCTCCTCCTCTTCCCACCCTTCGACCAAGCCACAGTGATACTTGTTGGGCGGTGTGGAGCTGCTGCGGCCCCGCCGCTGCCAGCCCGAGCCGTCCAGCGGCAGCGTCGTCCGCTCCGCGTTGCGCTCCCGGTACTCCTGAAAAAGGCGGAGCACGGGAGCCGGTCCGGGCGGCTGGGGGAGAACGGCAAAGGAAAAGCCAAAAGGGATGGAAAGGAGGAAGCCTTTCTGTGAGCTACTAGTAACAAAGGCATCGCTACTAGGGGCTCCTGGCATTTCTTTTCATTCTCGAGCTTCTTGGATGAATGAACGCCAGCGAGGTGGTGGACTGACGAGCAACAACGGTCGATATGAGGGGAAGTCTTGCGGCAAAATGGTTTTGTTATGTTTTGTTCCTTGCCACTGCGATAGTCGCCTGACCTACCACACATATCCACACATCAAGTTTCGTTCGATGGCAACAGAGTCTGTTGGGCTTCCCTCTATATAGAAGTCATTTACTTCTGTAGCCAGGTTGTTCTTGGGAGACGGTTGTTGGATGAAGCTCCGCGGAAAACAAGAGCTCCAGATCCCCAACCACAACTTACACTCAAAAGTGATGAACTCAGGGGGCCCCCGTTTGCCCCCCGGTTTCCTTTTGTGTATAAAGACAATGCTCTACTCGTGCACTCCCCTGCCACCCACCATATACTTTT